AGGCACACACACGTGGGACCGTAATGACGCCTTTGTTTGTTTACTTCCGCCTGTGTCACATGGTGAGGTTCCGGCAGTAGACAATAGCTACCTTTTGTTCCTGGTTAAAGTCGAATTTTGTGGCAGTCCAAATCCAATTTATTTTTAAAGTACATTTAAAAAACAGAAAGTTTGCCCAAAGTTCTGCACAAAGAAAAAAGATAAAGACACTCACATAAAATAAAACTAAGAGAATAAAAAGATTACATGAGCTCACACCGGTCCAAACACTATTGAAAGAAAAGATGTGTTTCAAAAGAGAATTAAAAGCTGGAAGCAAAGATGGCCGTCTAATATTTGAAGGCAACGTTTTCCAGGTTTGGGAGCCTCAACTGAAAAAGCTCGTTCTCCTCCAAGTTCCAGTCTAGTTTTTGGGGACAACCAAAAGCAGCCGGAGGCTGATCTAAGGGAATATGAGGCTGAAGTATATTATTTGTCCTTTATTTTTCCAGTTAAAAATCTCACTGAGATTAAAATTTTCGTTTCCAAGAGAGACCTGGCAAAGGTATCAGAAAGGTATGTAGGAGGAAGACCATTTAGGCATTTATGAGCCAACGTTAGGACTTTGAAATTAATTCTGTGATAAACAGGAAGCCAGTGAAGAGAGGACGGGTGAGATATGTTGAGGCCTGTGTGTACCAGTTAAGAGACGACACAGAACTGATTTGTTTATTATATTTATAATCCGAGTCCACAATAACTCCCAGATTTGTGATGTGCTGTTCGATGTGTGACCCAAGTCAACCACCATTAATAAGCGGATTGCACGAGTTATTATTAGTGCTGGCTATAATTACTTCTGTTTTGCTTTCATTGAAGCTCAAAAAGTTCAGAGCCATCCAAGCTTTGACCTCTTCAAGGCAGTTTAAAAGGAGTTGTATGGAGCCTGGATTATTAGGTGTTAAAGGAAGGTAAATTAGGCAGTCATCTGCGTGGCAGTGGAAGGATATCTCAGTTTGTTGCAGTAAATGAATAAATGATTGTGAGCAGCAAGGCTGCAGTGAGAAGAGAAAACAGATCCATGAATGAATTAAACTCCATGCAGGCTGTGGAATAAAAACAAAGGAAATTATTTTGACTGTTTAGCTTTCAGTGCTGACTTTCATTTAATTTTTGATACACAACTAAATAAATCCATCATACTCATACAAAAATATCAAAGACAAAAGAGCAGAAACTGCAGCAGCGTATTTTTTGGCTGCTGTATCAAATAAAAGGAGCAAAACCTCCTTCATCTGTCTCACTGCGTTAGTTTTCAGGTCTTTCAAATCTGACTCCAACAGTTTTCTCAGAGTTACATTTATTATAACACAATGTAAATTTTCATTGGTTACAAATTTACAGACATTAAACGTTTTATTTTCAAAGTGGAGCCCAGACGTGAGTGTTTAGTGGATGTTCTTTGGCTCAGACACCACAGAGAGAAGAACCAGATGCTCTGTGTGAACAAAGTAGAAGCAGAAAAACTTCAAACATTTCCTGCTTCCTCATGACACATCATATGAGAACAAAAGCAGCTCCTCCTCCTCCTGACTGCAGAAACCTGTCTGACTCCAGCTGTGAACATCAGACCCCTCACAGCTAACTCCCAGTGAACATCACTTCCAACATTTCTCCTCTGGAAACATGGAAAAACTGGCTGTGATTTGGATCTTTGCAGCTCTCGTAGGTACGTATGTTTCTGACAGGAACAC